TTATCTGAAATCAGTTTAATCCCATCCAAATTAAGAGACAGACAGCAGTTTCTTTTTCAAAGACTCTGGTCCAAAGACTATAACTTCTATTATGTCTGCATTCAGGAGCAGAAAGTTAAGAGTCATCCAGGTTTTAGTGTCTTGATCTATGCCTGTAATCTATGTAATGGGTTAGCTACATCTGGATTTATTGACAGATAAAGCTGAGATGACAACTATATCCAGAAAGGTATTTAAAGCCAGTAACTTCTTGCTGCAATGTAACAGTATTACAAACTGCACTGCTGTGCAGCCTACAATGCAGATATGTATCCATAAATCTCCTCTTGGTTTCTCTATTTCCAGGCTTGGAATACCCTGGACTCCCTGATGACACACCACTGCTGTGTGCTCAGCAATGAAGTGTAACAGATTATTTCTTTTATTTGGTTTTAAAGTGAACACTGAAACAGTTTATAGATGCATCCTAAATAAAGGTCTTTGAAAAGGTAACCAACAAATAACCAACAGACAAATGTTGCTTAGATTTTTAATTACCCTGAATATAGATTGATACAGTGTTGTTCATGATACAATTTGCAGAATCTGCAGAAACAAAAACGGATTACAAAATGATGAAGCAAATCTGTGAAAGGGAATTTAATTTACTTTAAATTCGTATATTTCTATATCTACAGATAGAAACGTTCACGTCTAATAAATGTAGCTCTGTATCATGCATTTTGAAGCTTTGGTACTATTTTTCCTTCATCCTAGTAGTGATCTTCTGTGCATATCAGTCACAAGAGCAAGTTATAGTGATCCAGTGTCCTTGATTGTACCAAATTGTAATAAAGGTTTTTTTTTCTCTACTTCCACATTAAAAGGGTTGACATTGGTGTCAATAATGGGCTCCATCAGGACACTCAGACTGACTGGCTGCAAAGCTCATTACATAACTTCCAATATGCATCAATTAGAGCCCACATTATTAGTGGAACATTGAAAGTAGATGTTTCACATTAGCATTCAGAAACTAAATGTTGTTTTCTATCAAACTGCTATAAAGGAAAAGGAAATTTGATATTCTGGCTATTTTATTAGATTTCTATCAACATTTTGAATAACTGTTCTAGTTTTTCCAGATTTTGCATTTAAAAAATGTTGATTAATTATGTTTTGAATGTAATGTTAATGCGTTTTTGGAGGCAATACGAGGTTAAAAACCAGGGATCCCTCAAATAAATGATCTATTCTCAATGTGAAATAGAGAAAGATAATGCTTATTAAAAAAAATATAGCTTGTTATCGTTCTTTTGTTGTTTTTTTTTAAATGTGCTTGCCAGTTCACATTCGGAGAAAATTATAAATATGTATTAAAAAAATAAATACATAAGAATTACATTTAACATACATTAACATTCTTAAAATGCTATTGTTTTGTTCAAATGCTCAACTGCTGATTTTATTAAAAAAGCCAACAGCTTGCCTCTAGAGAAAGTTTAATTTTTCCAGCTTGTTTCGCAGTTTATTATCTTTTTTTTATGCTGGCTGCTTTCTTGCTCATTGTATACCATGCTCCACCTATAAGAGGTGGAATTTACATTGTTACCACGCCTTTTATATGGGTTATTGGTCCTTGAAGGAAACGCTGTGCACTTTTGGCCATTTGTCGGGAATCATATAAGTTAACAAGATCTGGTTGATTATTCAACTCTTTTTAGTTCTTTTTTTTCATAAAGAGAAATATACAGAAAAGGCCAAACTAGTTTAATAATAAAAAAAATAGTCACTGATAATATTAGAAATTTAGACTTTATTTAGATAAAAAAATTAATTGAAATTCTTAGATTTAAAATGTTTCCTTATGTTAATCTAAAGGGAGGTTCAGCTAGAAAGATTCAGACTAGAATGAAGAAAGTCATTCTTTCCTGCATTTTCACTTGGTGATTCATTAAAAAAAACACCAAGTGATTAGTTTCTGGATCAGGTCTAGTGAAGAATTTACAGTAAATCAAAGTATTAATAAAAGATTAATTTAGTTCAGAAAATCAGCTAAACAATAGTAAAACATTATATGGATTATTTACACAAACTTATGTTTTCTTACAGGTCATGAAAATATAACATTAAAGATTCAAATGTCAGACATTCCATCCATCCATCCATCCATCCATCCATCTCTCCATCCATCCATCCATCCATCCATCCATCCATCCATCCATCCATCCATCCCTCCGTCCGTCCGTCCGTCCATCCATCCATCCATCCAACCCTCTGTCCGTCCGTCCAACCATCCATCTCTCCATCCGTCCATCGATCCATCCATCCATCCATCCATCCATCCATCCATCCAACCCTCTGTCCGTCCGTCCAACCATCCATCCATCCATCCATCCATCCATCCATCCATCCATCCAACCCTCTGTCCGTCCGTTCATCCATCCATCCATCCATCCATCCATCATCCATCCATCCATCCATCCATCCATCATCCATCCAACCATCCATCTCTCCATCCATCCTCCATCCATCCATCCATCCATCCATCCATCCATCATCCATCCAACCATCCATCTCTCCATCCGTCCATCCATCCATCCATCCACCCAACCGTCCGTTAGTCCATCCATCCGTCCGTCCCTCCGTCCGTCCGTCCACCCACCCACCTGTTAAGCTTGGACTGTGGGAGGAAGCACTCAGATGCTTAACATCCTCTGCCAATAGGTAACCCTTTTAACTCAGCACTTAATGTTTAAAATATTTCTCTTCCTCATGGATTTACGGATGGTACAAACAGGCTCTCATAACTGGTAACGTTTTATATTCTTTTCAGCAGTAAATATCAAAGAAAAAAAAATATCTTTAAGGTTTTCCTACTTTTAATGTAAGATTAATTGATTTCAATTAAACTGAAACAGAAACAAAAATGTTTAAGGTTAAAATGCAGAAATCCGTGCCTCCTTTTATAAGTAAGTTTTATAAACCTTTTGAAAAGAAAAGAAAGAAAAAAAAGATCATTGCATATCTCATTCTGCAGAGATGTCATTCACGTTAAGTGTATTATTTCTATACCAGGACAAATATAAGATAATTAGTATACTAATAAGTCAGTACTTTTGATGGTACAATTGACATTTGCCTTAAGCTTGACCTATGTGCTCAAGAGCATTATTTATTTATTTATTTATTTATTTATTTATTTATTTATTTATTTTATTGCATTGATTTCCACAGTAGGAAATGAGACACAAATGTTGAAATGTTTTCAGACTTTGAATTTGAAACTCTTAACTTCTGTGTAAAATAAAAGGAACGCTTTTTTAATGTGCCTCCCATACCTTAAACAATCATATATTCACAAAATATACAAATATTACTGTGTTTTCTTTTACTTTTCATAATCAACAGAAATATAATTTTTTTTTTATCCAAAGCTTTGTTTTACTACCTTTTATATAGCACCATCTACAACGAGTAGATAAGTCTGCATTAATTGGGTTGCTATAAAAACGTTAGATCAGAGGTCCTCAAGAGGGGGGCCTATTGCATGGGGGTCGCGAAAGTTTTGGTTGATTAGACTTTTTTTTTATATCCCCCCCCCTGCAATTTTTTCCACTAAATAAAATGTCTTTAAATCCACATTAACATGAATTCAACACACTGCAGTAAACAGATAAATGGAGGCAGAAGATGTCTTTCAGTCATCAATGCCAGTGGCGGTTCTAGGCCAAATGTACCAGGGGGCAGCTTGGTTTTCCTGGGGCCACAGAAAAGCAGGAAATAAAAAAACAGGGATTCAAATATATTAAAGTTTAATATATTATAATATATATTAATATATTAGGTTTAATTAAAAATTATATTTCTTATAAGGGTCAATATACATTCATAATTTAGGAATTTTATATATTTTTGACTTAATTTAAGTTAAAATTACAGTTTTCTATCAAATCTGAATTTGGACAAAAAAATAACTGATACATTCAGCTTTAAAAATTAGAGCAATTTCTTTTGAAAAAAAGAAATCTGGGATCCAATCTCAATATGGATCTTTTAAGCTGGGCACCGTTTCATTCACAACACCTGTCCCATCAACCAGGAATCACAATCCGAAATACTTTAATAATCCCAGGGAGAAATTACTTTCACTACATTACTCCATCTGTAATAGAGTGACTATAGGACCAGTTTGATAGAACACAATTTCATACTATATATAATTAGGGGGTCCCTGCTCCATCTCAACATCAGTTTGGGGGTCCTTGGCCTGGAAAACGTTGAAAACCCCTGCGTTAGATAACCACTTTAGCATTTTTAGGAAGAAAAAGTTTCCTTTATTATCCTTAAAAAAGGGGTGTCATGTGCTAGCACAGCCTCTGGTCATGGTTGTACCTTACAAAAGAACAGAGGGTGGTCAGCCTCCTACTGACCAACTCAAGCTACTAAATTGCTACTATCAGTCAAAACTGCTGGGCTTCATCCCTTCTTTTCCCTTGCATCATCCAACTGTGTCTTCCACTCCAAACTGCCAGAATTGATCTTTCCTTAGACAGCGCTGTCGTCTCTCGTGATCGTGCAAACACTTATATAAGTGAAAAAGAAATCAATACAAAACAGATGTGACTTCTCTTTACAAGCTCCTAATCATTCCCGTTATTGTTCAGAAAACACATTGTGACAGAGCTGATAATCAAATCATTGCAGCATTTTTCATCTCCTTTCTCTTTGAAAAGTCTGCATCGCTGCAGCAGGTTGCGTGTTTGGCACGCTGACATCAAAAGTCATTGTGCAAAGACACATTTGGAACATTTTAAACATATCCCTGTAGCGTCACACAGTAAGGATAAGAGAAACGAGGACCAAGGCAAAACTATAAGAAACACCTCCCCTTACTGGTAGGAAAAGGGTTAAGCCTATTACTGCAGACCAATCAGGACAGGGGGAGCACTGCAAACCTCCGCAGTAAGAGAGAGAGAAAGGGAGAGGGGGAACAAGGGAGCGAGGGAGGATGAGGAGAGCGAGAGAGTAGGAGATGGAGAGATACCGGGAGTGTGATGGTTTGCACTCTAATCCAGTCAGTTAGGTAAAGAGGAAACGTAACAGAGTTAGTTTGATGTAGATTACTCGCATAATAATCTAATCTGGTGAAAAAAAACAAGGACCTGAAGAAAAAACAGTGATGTTGCATACATCCATGAAGGACAACTCTTTGCAGGACTTCTGACTGGTGCTTATGAAGAGAATACTGAAGGCTTTTTCTTCTACAACAAGAATCTGATTTGTTTCTTTGAATGCTTTGTCAAATCATCAAGAATCTTCACTTGTCATCCTGCCGTTTTAAAGCAATGAAAGAAGAGGATGGAATGTGGTGACTGGACCTCCTGAAGAGCCTTTGTGTTTACTCCTGATGGTGAGCTTTGCTGGGTTTTGATAGTGCACCTCACACTTGTTGGCTTGATATAGAACCAGACTACTGTATGAATATGGTTTGCAAGATCAAATCATTATATTTTATAAACTTTGATTCGAGAAATAAATGATTTTGGTATCTTTAATTAGAAAGTGTGAGTCATGCAGCTGCTCAGACACATGCACAGCTGTCAGACTCTACAATACTAGAACTTTGACGGAGCACTTTTATTTCATGGTGGGAAAAATCCCCTGTTCTGTATGGAAACATGGTAGTGATGCAATGTACTCACTTAACATTTCTCCTGACATTTTAACTAATTGTTTGGCTGAAACAACCTTTAAAAAAGGCATAACTTTGATTGTAATAACAGACAGAGCTCTCCTAAGGGAGTACTCTTTACTAAAGCATCCGGTCATGAAAACTGAATTACCGTTTCATCAGTGCTGTGTCTTTATAAACAACCAAATGTCAGCGCTAACAAGCTTTGCTTATGATACGGGAAGATGAGATCTACTATTGTTAGTATTTTATTAAAACAAGCAGGATGCAAAGACCACAAAAACATAATCAGACATCAGAGGGTGGGCTCAATGTTTTTTGAGAATTTCCGTGCTCTCTGCTGAGAATTATGTTTATATTCACTCACACATCCCCCACACTCCCCCACTTACTCCTTCTGCAATTTCTCACTCCCCGTCTCACTCCCTCATTTCTTACTGTCTTATTTTTCCTTCTCACTTTAGGTCCAAAGACATACAGACGAAGGATATATCGATAACGTTCTGCTTCCTGATTTTAAATTGATGTCAAAGATTCCTGTTCTCTGGCTGAAGAAGCGGCTTCCATGACTTCATGAAAATGACCTTCTCATAGCCTGATGAAAAGAGCCACGACATTTCCACTTACCGCTGATCACACGTCTCATGGTGATTGGACATCCGTGAGGCAGCGGCATCACCGATGATGATTTAGGGTACTGCTTGTTGAGGGGAAACCTGGAGGCTTGCGCTTGGTTTACAAGTCAATGTTGGCTGGAGCCAGACATTTAATGACTGATGTGAAGGCTGGAGAGTGAAGGCCCTTTCCATTAGTGCCCCGTGGGGAAGCAAAGGCCTAGACACTGTCCGGTCACACTGACCTATTCCTGGCACAATCTGGACATCACCTTGATGCATGCTGGGGAACCGCCTTAATGCACTTTCTTCTGGAATACTTGCTAATGGATGAAAGCAATTTTCTAAATATACACATCTGAGAAACGTCTCATTATCCTCTGGCCGGAATAAAATAGATAAGCACTTGTTTGGATGCATTATATGCAACTTCCTCCAGTTCATTGCAAAAAAAAAAAAAAGACTTTTGTTCAGTTTTTTTGTATTTGAAATGCTATTTGGGAATTATGTGATACCTTAGAGGAAGTGTCTGACATCTTATCCCTTCTCCAGCTGATCTATCAATGTGTACGTCTTCCTCAAAGTCAATATTTACTAAGTATAGCTTTTGGTTTTTGGCCTCGGAGCTTGGGAAAAAAAGGCTGGAGATTTTGGTGCGACAGCCAGGTGCTTTTGTGTACCTCTGGGATGGACTGGCAGTAAAAGGAAAAGCCTCGCTGGGCGAACGGGACGCTGCTGGAGCAGAAACGGCTGTGTTTGGATGTGATGCTTCTCTCTGTGGATCCAGCATGGACTGCCTGCCCTAATTACACAGTCCTGGTATTCAGATAGTTCTGGAGCGAAGGGTAAATAAATCCTCCTTTGCTTTCCCTCATATTATCTTGAAAAATGTCTTCATTTTGAATGTGCAAGGCCATTTTACGGTAGCAATGACTTTACAAATACTTTTGACATTTGTCTCATTCTTAATCTAAGACATGGTTCTAAAATGACATGCAGTTTATTTGTGCATTTCAGTCAAAATAGTGCACATATTTTTATCTGCTCAGACTTATATATAGTATAAGTCCATCATATAGTGATATATTTAAGAAAAATGTAGTTGTTTCTTGTAAAATACATAATTTAAGCCAAGATCTATTAAAAAACATACTTATTTTAGCAATTAGAAGTATTCATGTAATAAAACAGTTTTAATACTAAAGATGAACCAAGTGCAGATCTGAGCAGGGATCAGAGGCCGGAAATCTGGTGTAAGGGTTTAGATTCTTTAGGGAATAAGCACAGACATGTATTTACAGCTACTAAAGATAAACAAGCTAATGAACTAAGTGAAAATGTTATGCTTTAAAATGAAACTTTAAATCATAAATCTGTATTTATTTTGTCCTTATTTAAGATTCTCAATCATCCAGGTCATAGTCATTTCAAAAAAAGAACATTAAAAACAATCCACTGGACATGCAAATTGAAACGGACGGTTCAATTTGCATGTTTTAAAAACAAAAAACAAAAAAAACAAGGCTTTGATGGCTTCTGTATAAAACCTCAAACTCAACGTCATTCCTGACATTTTGAATTGAAAAAGCTTCCTGGATGGGAAGCGAAACGTCTTCAAACTTGGAAACAAAGTCCAGTGGATTGTTTTTAATTTTTTATTTTTTTGGAATGACCACTTCTTAAATATACCCAGTGTTTATTTAGAAGTGTTCCTAAATGATAAATGACTGCTAACCATAAGGTTAACTTAGCTACGAAAGGAAGGTTAGTAAAACATTTTATGCCACTACTTCTGATTCCTAAGTCTTATAAAATTTTATGTAAAATTTTTATTAGCAAATCATAGGTCTATAATGGACTATTAAATTCTGACTGATATATCTCTGTATTGCAATTTATACTTTAGGAAAGTGATCTGCAAGGAAAATCAGGATATTAGACTTATCTTCAGTGGGATGTATTTTCCAATAACGACATTGTGTTGACATTTTTAATTACTTTTATTTTTAGAGATAAGATATTAAGAAACCAACTTATATTATAAGTTCTTTCTTCTTCTCCCTTTATGCAGGATAATGCATATTTTTCCCTGGCGACAAAAAGAAGCCACCATGAGCAACATCACTGTCACCGACAACACTGAGCCTATCGGCAGCGCCATGAGTCTGGCGACCTCCGACCCATACCCCTACCCTGTTAGCTTTCAGATCTCTCTAACAGGCTTCCTGATGCTGGAAATCCTGCTAGGTCTGAGCTCCAACCTCACGGTGCTTGCCCTCTACTGTATGAAGTCAAACCTCATTAGTTCCGTCAGTAACATCGTCACCATGAATCTCCATGTGCTGGACGTGCTGATCTGTGTGTGCTGTATCCCCCTAACAATCGTCGTAGTGCTTCTTTCCGTGGAAAAAGACATGGCCCTCGTCTGCTGTTTCCACGAAGCCTGTGTCTCCTTCGCAAGTGTTGCCACTGCTGCAAATGTGCTCGCCATCACCCTTGACCGCTATGATATCTCTGTGAAACCAGCCAACAGGGTGCTGACCATGGGCCGTGCTCTGGCCCTGCTGGCTTTGATTTGGCTGCTGTCCTTCATTAGTTTTCTTGTCCCCTTTATTGAGGTGGGTTTCTTTGCTCACAACCAGACTAAGATAAATCAGACAGAGGTGGAGAATGAGGTCCTCAGCAACGAGTACAACTATGAACCCGGCCTCTATTATCACTTGCTTGCTCAGATCCCAATTTTCTTCTTTACGGCCATTGTTATGCTCATCACCTACTCAAAGATCCTGCAGGCGCTCAACATTCGCATAGGTACACGTTTCCATGCCTCACAGAAGAAAAAGGCTCGCAGGAAAAAGCGCCCATCCATGACAGCCATGTCAACACAACAAGAGGCCACAGATGGATCCCAGGGCAGCACCAGCCGCAATCCCACACTAGGGATGCGCACGTCTGTCTCCGTCATCATCGCCCTACGTAGGGCTGTCAAGCGCCACCGAGAGAGGCGAGAACGTCAGAAGAGAGTTTTCAGGATGTCACTGTTGATTGTGTCCACCTTCCTTTTGTGCTGGACGCCGATCACAGTTCTGAACACAGTCATCCTGAGCGTGGGCCCCAGTAATCTTATGGTCAGGTTAAGGCTAGGTTTCCTGGTCATGGCTTATGGAACCACCATTTTTCACCCCCTGCTCTATGCCTTTACAAGGCAGAAGTTCCAAAAAGTCTTAAAAAGCAAGATGAAAAAGCGAGTGGTGTCGATTATTGAGGCTGATCCTACCCCTAATAACGCTATCATTCACAACTCCTGGATCGACCCAAAGAGGAACAAAAAGGTGACGTTTGAGGACAAAGATGCAAAGTTGAAATGTCTTTCTTCTGAGGATGTAGAGTAAAATAAAACCTCATTATCTTAAAGGGAAAAATAGTCAAAGCAGCTAATATTGACTTCAAGTCATCATTAAAAAGGGAAAACTGTAAAATAATATGTGCAATAAAATGTAAAAATGTAGAAGGTGGATTATTTATTACTATTTATTGAGAACTGAAACACATTTCTTAGATGTATTATTGTATTGTAGATATTGCATGACTTTTGTAACAGCAACAACGAAACATGTACATAGCGTTACATGTACAGAATAGGCTAAACAAGATATTTAAATAGAGAGAGTAATAGGAATTGTTATGTAAACGTATATTTATAATAAATTTTGTGTTCACATCTGATGCAGCGTCCTATTCTCCAATCCCTCGGGTAAAATGTTTGTGAATCAGTAACAGCTTTGAGATTACACACATTTATCATGTTGCCACTTTTTCTTGACACCAGTCCCAGCGGTCTCCAGCGACAGCTAACCTTATTGCTTGGGAGGGTTCGAGAAGAGAGCCCTAATACGGAAATTTTACAATAAATACAAGAGAGGGACACAGCTGGGTCATAGATAGTGCAGGAGAAAGGTTTAGATTAATTATCATATATATATATATATATATATATATATATATATATATATATATATATATATATATATATATATATATTCACGTGTGTACAGTACATTCAAGCCATGCCAGGGGATCACAGATTGCATGAATGATTGAAGACTAAATTAGACTTTTGAAAATCCAATACCAAAGTCGGCCAGAAGATGGCAAAAGTGCATCTATATCTAGTGTAAATGAAGGCTGATTTACTTGAAACTAGATCGTCTACGTGTGTCAAAGTGATCGTAGAGACGTTCCCGCCCCCTCCGGAGACATTCTGGTGCAGCTTTAGCAAATTATAGGTGACCGCAGACAGGAGGCCTCTGATTGGTCAAACCTACCTCCTCTCTACTCTATTCCTGTTTGGTACCATACTGGCTTATTTTGTTCGTGGTGGAAAAGATTTTTGAAGTTGAACCAGCTAGGAGAGCGAGGTGCGAGAACGCTGGGACCCTTTTTCCGCCTGGATCCCCGCTCTTTTTCACCCTTACGTCCCTCGATTGTTGCACAAACTTGCCCCGGCTTCCTCACCGCCTCGGCCGTATCTAGACCCACAGCTCGTTCCTGATTGTCCCTCTTGCGTTTTGCCGTCGAATAACATAGCACAGACCATGCTTCAATATTTGGCATAAATCCAAAAATATCTGCGTCATACCTGTGAAAAGCTCACTGCGACACACTGCTGCGGGAGTATAACCAGGCTGTAAGAGGTCGTGTTCAGTGAGGAAAGCACAAACCCTTATTTTTAACTACATACACGGTCAGTGATTGATGCTGGTAAATCAGCTGTTGCCGTAGCTCCCGGCAAACATGTAGTGTAGGCCAGCGGACCCCCAACCTTTTTTGCGCCACGGACCGGTTTTATGTCAGACAATATTTTCACAGAACAGACTTTAAAGTGTGGGGGGTAAATATGATCAAATAAAATGATACACCTGGCATAAAATGAAATACAAACAGCATAAAAATAAAACTCACCATTATGTTGAATTAGTGGGAGCCCTGATTCTGAAACAAGCCATCTACTGTAGGGGTAATCGGAGAAAATGACAGACGAAGTGTGCTCCTGATGTCCAGTCTGCTCCGTAGCTTTGTTTTGGTCGCTGTAACCGCAGAAAATCCCTCTTCACAAAGAAAGGATGTTATAGATAGGATGCGTTTTGAACTGAATTAACCTGTGTCAAGAGGCACAGATGCACCGACTGATGTAATTGGGAGAGAATACCGCAATGCTTTACATTTATCAAAATAAAACATCACTCAGACTCTGATCTGATATATATTTTTTTTTTTCTGAGCGGCCCGGTACCAAATGACCGACGGACCGGTACCGGTCCACGGCCCGGTGGTTGGGGACCCCTGGTGTAGGGGACCGCAAGAACAGCTCCCGCCCCCTTCTTCTTCTGTTTGGCTAATGCTGTTAGTTTCAGATCGCTCCTTTGCTACCATTGGCTGACAGACACAAGGGATTTTGTTTGTCTTTTTAAAATGTATTCGCCGTCAATTTATTTTCGAGTGATTTTTTTTTTACCCACGGGCAAGCGCTATTAGCAGGAAATCCGGCCCTATGGCCGGATTACTTTAGTCGCTGTGAATCATTCTCTTTACTGGTTAAATGATAATACAGCTGACCAGAAGGATTTTTAAAGACCTAATTTGGGATGGAAAGGGGAATAAATCTTATCCAAACTTATCTAAAACTTGTAGATTGATATTAAATGCTAGGTCTGTGCCAGAATGCAAACCCAAAGGAATGATCTTTTCCATTTATATTAACAGCATTGGTAACATTTTCACAACAGCACACTTGTTTTTGTTATAACTAAATTTGAGCTTCTGCAGGAAATTGCATGAGAGGGCTAAAGAACATGTTAGTGTGGGTGAGTGTACATATTTTACCTCAATGTATAATTTGACTCTATGTGGAGAAGAAATCATAAATAATCATTTCTAACTGGTGCAACAAATTCAAGTTTCTAAATCACTGAAGGAGCGCACTGCCAAACCACAATATTATTTAAAAAAAAAGAGCTCAATATGTTGTTAAAACCCTGTAATTAATCTTACAATTACGCCTCAGATGAGTATCTGTGAACTTCTGACCGATACTGTACACAGAGGAGAGTAAGGGATGTTAGTGAAGAAAGAAAGAAAAAGAAAAGAACTGTTCAGGAAGTACTGTTTAGAGTTGGACAATCGCACACACATTCCACAGACACAACAGGACACCATGCTTTTCATCACCCAGCTGACATTAACCAGATGTAATCAGATTCTGGTCTGCTTCTTCTTTTCTCCCCCTCTGCCATAGATTTTTACTCAGTTAGAAAAAACAACAACAAATTGCCTAATTTAAGACGAATAATTGAAAACAACACAATGCAAAAATGAGAGAGGGTAAATTACGCTCATTGTGGTAGAAACAATTAATTCCTGCAGTTGGTGCAAACAGAAAATGTATGTTTTTTTACAAAGTTACTGGAAGTTGTTTCAGAATAACCTATTTAAGCAAATTAAATCGACATTTTAACAACAACACAAAGGCTTTATGATTCAATAAGGTTAATGAATTCTTAAGTTGCTGCACCTTCACATTTTTGGAAGGAAAATATTTCTATTGGGGTAAACATACAGCCATGGAGGAAGAGAAAATAAAAGCTGCCACCTAAAGCATTCAGTGTTCTATTCAGGTGTGGAGATAGATGGGGGGCCAGGGGTGGCCATGGCCACCCTCAGCTAATCAGCAGCCACCCCGGTGGCCACCCCTACCATTATTTCCCTCTAATACAGACGTGGCAGCAGTAATGCTCTCAAGTGGAAAGTTCTAACTTATTTAACATTTTAATTCTTCAGATGTTAACAATTACTTGACAACAAAACCCCCCTGTGGTTAATGATGCTCATCAATATACTTTTTACAACTAGATTTTGTCTTATGGGGTAAAGAGAAAATTATGTCTCTGCAAGTCATTTCTGAGTCTTCGGTGAAATTAGAGATAAATAACTACTTTTAATAATAAGTAATCCATTAAATGTTGATATACTTACTTGTAAATATTATTTCTATGCAGTTCTATGAACGGTTATTGATAAAAGTATGTTAGTAATGACAATTAATAAGATGTTCGCCCCAAAACTCAAACCTGAAAGAATTTAGTCCACTACACCTTTAATTTAGACAGCATGGATGTTTAAATATATGCTTCTATTTGTTAGCAAAGGCTGTAGGAAAGTATAGTTAGTCTTTATTTAGAAAATGTCATTAATTTTCCTGTTGAAATTGTGTGGATTGACTCTGAGGTTCTGGTGCCTAACTACTTTCGGACACCCCTGAGTGTACATTGGTTATTGCCTGGCAGAGATGGCAAAAGTACTCACTTTCCGTACTTGAGTAAAAGTACAGATACTTGTTTTAAAAAATACTCTGGTAAAAGTGGAAGTACTGATTAAACTTCTTTACTCAAGTAAAAGTAACAAAGTACAGGCTTGTAAATTTACTTAAAGTATAAAAGTAAAAGTAGAAACCACTTTTTTCATGCCGTTGCCTACATTTTAAATGGATGTCTGCCAATAGGACTAGATCTCCGTTGTGTTCATTTTCAATCATCTCGTCGTCCATGCTACTATGCTAACGCCACCGCCACCAAGCTGCAATGATTTGCCGCCAATGAATACCGCCGAATCTGTCGATTCATCTTGTAGTAGTGCGTCAAATGCAACGTAGATTCCCATCCAATTAGATTGAATTTGGTATTGATAACGTGAAAAATAATAACGGTAACTCCATTGAAATGATTCAAAACTAAAGTAACGAGCCAATTTTTAAAAATGTAAGGAGTAGAAAGTACAGATATTTGTGTAAAAATGTAAGGAGTAGAAGTAATAAGTCGTAATAAAAATAAGTAGTAAAGTAAAGTAAAAATATCAGAAAAATCTACTGGAGTCCATAACGAAGTATTTGTACTTCGTTACTTCCCATCTCTGCTGCCTGGCCACCCTTATTAAAATATTCTAGCTACGCCTCTGGTTCTATTTAATGGTAAATCTAGAAGCAGACGGTCAGCACCACATTTTATACGGTGGCACTACCTGTGCAACCTGCACATCATTCTCAACAATCACTTTCTTATTGAAGTGTATGCACACAGAGAACTCCAATTTCAATGCTCAGAGTAGAATAGAATAGAATAGATTAGACTAGAATACCAACATGAGGAAATTCTACACAAAAATCCTGTTCCATGCTACCCCCCCTCTTCATCTCCATAATGAACCTATTACATGTGTCCCTTTGCTGTCTCACACATGGTAGAAGACCGGGGAGCCTATTTGAAACCATAAAGCTGTTGGCTACCAGACTGATTGCACAGCCACAATCAAATCCATGTCTGGCTGTCAGCATCTGGTTAGTGGCACAGCAGAGAAAATTGATGTGGGAATATTGAGGCAGGCAAGGATCCTTATGAACGTGCTTTAAACCAGAAGCCAAGATGTTATGGTGCCTTAAAAGCACTGATTGAAAGAGTGAATGACCAGTTAGCTTGTAGAAGAGGGAAACTTGTTGGAAAGATAAGATTTTACGGTAATATTTATACAATTTCGAAGTTGTTTAGGATCATGGATTCCGCAGTAGAATGCTTTAAATCACAGTTTTCAATTCTGCAATACTGCTCTCCTACGTACCAGGACAGCATGCCCTTGAGGTAGCCTCTATAAATAGG